CCCCATCAAACACTCCCAGGACAGGGACAGCACAGGGTTAGATACAGAGTAAAGCTCCCTCTACACTGGCCCCCCATCAAACACTCCCAGGACAGGGATAGACCAGAAGACATAACAGCAAAAATGGGCCATTCAGCCCATTGGGTCTGCTCCGCCATTGAGATCATGGCCGATCTGATAATCCTCAACCCCACTTCCCTGCTCTTTCCCTTGAATCCCTCCCTGATTAAAAATGTCTTTCTTAGCCTTGAATATACTGAGTGACCCAGACTCAACAGCCCTCTGTGGTAAAGATTTCCACAGATTCACTCCCCTCTGACAGAAAAAAAATTCCTCCTCATCTCCATCTCAAATGGGTGACCCCTTACTCTGAGATTATACCCTTTGGTCCTAGCCTCTCCCACAAGCAGTAGCAACCTCTCCACATCTCCCCTATCAAGTCCCCCCTTAAAAATCTTGTCTGTTTCAACAAGGTCACCTTTCATTTCTCTAAACTCTGATGAATAAAGGTCCAATTTACTCAATCTCTCCTCTCATCCAGGATTAGCCTCTGGGCTGTCTCCAATGCCAGGATATCTTTCCTTAAAGGGGACAAAAACCACTCATGGTATTGTAGGTGTGGTCTGACTAGTGCCTCGTGTAGTTTACAAGACTAGCCTACTTTTAGACTCCATTCCCTTTCAAATAAAGGCCACCGTTCCATTTGCCTTCCCTATTACCCGCTGAATTTGTGTGTTAGCTTTTTGTGATTTATACTTGAGGACTCCCAAATCCCTCTGTGCTGTAGCTTTCTGCAGTCTTTCTCCGTTTAAACAATATTCAGATCCTCTCCTCTTCCTGCCAGAGTGCATGACCTCACATGTCCCACGCTATATCACATCTGACAAGTTTTTTCTCACTCGCTTAACCTTCCTCTGTCCCTCTGCAAACTCTGTGTGTCATCCTCACCAAATGCCTTCCCACCTATTTTTCTGTAAGTCACAAACTTGGCTAAAGGACACTCTCATCCAAGTCCTTAGTGTATCTCGTAAATAACTACGGCCCCATCACTCATCCCTGTGTCACTCCAGCAGTTACAGGTCACCAGCCTGAAAAATACCCTCCTTTCTAGGGTAGGGGGAGTCCAAAACTAGAGGGGTGTAGGTTTAAGGTGAGAGGGGAAAGATTTAAAAGGGATCTGAGGGGCAACTTTTTCACGCAGAAGGTGGTTCGTGTGTGGAATGAGCTGCCAGAGGAAGTGGTGGAGATGGGTACAGTTTCAAGGTTTAAAAGGCATTTGGACAGGTACATGGATAGGAAAGGTTTGGAGGGATATGGGCCAAACACAGGCAGAGGGGACTAGTTTAGTTTGGGAAACTTGGTCGGTGTGGACATGTTGGACCAAAGGGACCTGTTTTTGTGCTGTATGACTTTAATGCAATCGCTCTGTCTTTCTCAGTCAGCCAATCCTCTCTCTAAACTGATATTTTCTCCCCAGCATGATGGCCTATTGCACAAATATAAACAAAATTGCTGGAGAAACTCAGCAGGTCTGGCAGCATCTATGGAGAGAGAGAGAGAGAGAGAAACAGAGTTAACATTTCGAGTGTGCGATGACTTCTTCGGAATTAATACTGCACTCGAAAAAATCTGCTTTTCTCTCTCCACAGAAGCTGAGCATCAGTCACATTCTCTGTGTGTGTCTCAGATTTCCAGCATCCACTGTATTTTACCTTATACCATGGACTCTTATAGAGTCACGGGGCTGTATAGGATAGAAACAGTCCCTTCGGTCCAACTCGTCCATGCCGACCTGAAGATATCCTAAATTAATCTAGTCCCATTTGCTAGCACTTGGCCCATATCCCTCTAAACCCTTCCTATTCACATACCCATCCAGATGCCTGTTAAATGTTGTAATTGTACCAGCCTCCACCACTTCCTCTGGCAACTCATGCCATACACACACCACCCTCTGTGTGAAAAAGTTACCCCTTAGGTCCCTTTTAAATCTTTCCCCTCTCACCTTAAACCTATGCCCCTCCAGTTTTGGACTCCCCCACCCTGGGGGAATAGACCTTGTCTATTTACCCTATCCATGCCCCTCATGATTTTATAAACCTCTATAAGGTCACCCCTTCAGCCACCGACTCTCCAGGGAAAATAGCCCCAGCCTCTCCCTGTAGCTCAAACCCTCCAACCCTGGCAACATCCTTGTAAATCTTTTCTGAACCCTTTCAAGTTTCACAACATCCTTCCTATAGCAGGGAGACCAGA